CAGCAACTTGCTCTAGTGTAAGGTGTCCCTGCTTGTGGCAGGGGGTGGAACTGGAGGAGCTTTAAGGTCCCTTCCAACACAAACCAGACTGGGATTCTATGATTAACCCCTCACCAGTCAGTCATCTCAAACCCATCAATCTATCAGCTCTTTGTTGTTTTGGGACTATTACAAATCTTTCTTTTTCTCCTCTAAAAAGCCTATTGCCAGTTCCCTGCATTTTAGGAGCAATGAGATCTTCCATCTTTTCATCTTCAGAAGTTCTCCTGGGTTGAAGCTTTATATCGCTTCCAACTCCTGTTCCCATATTTAGTGTCATTGTAGAAAGTCTTTGAGAACCACGAAGTTTCTGCAAGTTTGTTCTTTTACACTTAGAACTCTGAGAATAAAAAACTTGTTGATAAAATTAGAAGTTTTGTTTTTCTTGTTTTGTTCCAAATTCTGTACTCATAAGTTCTACAACATCAGGCTTTGTCCTTTGCTCAGAACCTTACAGGAATGACTGTTTTTTGGCTCTTACCTTAGTGACAAGTTGACAAAAACCTCCATTATTCTCCAAAATTCCTTTCTTCTTTTTTTGTCAAATACATTACTCTGTTTCTTTGAGCTGCCTGGAACACTGTATTAGGGTTTTTTCACTAATTAATGAGAGGACAAAGCAGAAAGAACATGGTCAATAGTTGCCATTAGGCAACAAGCATAGTAATGGAATAGCCCATGGTTTAGAATTACACGTTGGATGTTGGACAATAGATTCAATCCTTTTCAGTGCAACTTTGGGACAGGAGCCTTTTACTTGGTAGTAACATGACTGAATAACTGTCTGTAAAATGTAGAGTTTAAGCACAGAGGTGACACCACCTAATTATACAGTATATACCTTAACTGCTCTGCTGTCTTGCTGGAGTGATGTACTAAGTGTGCAGTGCCTACGCTGCAGCTGTTGGTGTCTCCTGAGGAACAGTGTAATCAAGCTGTCACCAGCTCTCCTGAGGGAACATGTTCAGGTTCTGCAGTACGAGGGACTCGCGTTTCTGCTTCAGTAGATCTCACAGTTTGGAGTCTGAACCATGTGCACTTGCCAAAGAAGCAGGAATTGTTGATTCGTATTTGCTATTGCCAGCCAAGCTGAGTATCACATTGCATCCACATTCCCAAGAATATCTGCATAAGTCCCAAGCTTTCACAGCCCTTGCTGTATTGGCGGAGCTTTCTAATAAAGAAGCCTCAGGATCCCGTCAGAAACAGGATGCTTCAGTACAAAGCTTTGGGGTTTAATTTTCCCAGTGCCAGGTATGCATGAAGCAGAAGAGCAAAGATGAAAATGCCCAAGTGAGAGGAAGGGAACCTGGCTGATAATGGAAAAAAACCTGCTTTCCTTTTCTTGTGCATGAGGGTGGGCTTTTACCTTCTGTGCTAATACTCTTCTAGAAGCTCTGCAGCGCTGAGTGAAATAACAGACAACTCCAGATGGAGATAAAAGCAGCCTGTTAGTAGTTTACATTCTGAATGCATTAAGTATTAAGATACATATCTTGAGGGAGGAACAGGAGTAAATGGCTTTTATTGATCACAGCAAACAGCCTGTGTGGGAGGTGGCTTTGAGGGGTAAATAAGCAAGTAAAGTAAAGCCACTGAACTAAATCGCTCGAGGGTTTCAGGGGTTCATTTAACTCTTAGATCATCCAAGAAAGGGGATAGGGCTGGGCTGGGTTTTCTGTGTGTAGTGAGTTATTAAGCTTGTCTATTGATCAGTGCTTCTCCTGGGGTGCCTCTTCCAGCTCTGTCCTTTGCTCCAAGTTAGATTCGTATGCTCAGGTTTCTGTAAGATACCATGTTGTTTTCACATGCAGTAGTAGCTTATCAAATCCAAGGTGGTCTGTAGGTATCTGGGTAGGAGATGGTGTGGGGCATGGGAACCTCAGGGCAGGAAAGGAAGGCTGTCCTGCTTTTCCATAATCTTTTGGTGGGTGGATTTTTAACCATGCTGAATGGAGGAGCTGGGGCTCAGTTTAATTCACCTTGTAGCACGTACAAGTGCAGGGGCACTAGTGTGATGAGCTCAGTGTGGAACTGGGGTAGATGCAGATGAATCTCTTCTGTTTCAATTTCAGGGATTTGGCCTGAAGGAAAAATAAGCTTCATTATGGCAAAAAGTAGGAATAGGAGGCACTGGGTAAGGAGAGCAGGTACCAGGAACACTGCCTGCAGCACCCTGTGTGCTGCACTTGATCCACAGCCACTGTCAGCTCTGGGTCTCTTGCTGCAGCTGCAGGACTAAGGAATGAGAGATCTGGACAGATTCTGTGCTACATCCAGGCACTAAAGAGCACCTGGGGAGTCTACTTTTGCTGTTGTGTCATAGGGTTAGGGATCTCCCCTGGGGCTTTCTCTGATTTCTGTCAAGTTTTCTGCCAAGTGGTCCACAGGGAGCTGTTTTTGTTGGGGAACAAAGATAATGCTCCTTCCATGCCTTTCTCTCCTCTATTTATAAGGGTGCAAGGTTAAATACAAAGCTCACATGATTGGTGCTTAGTGAGAGTTCCTACGTAGCCAGAGTGATCATAGAATCACAGAGTGGTTTGGGTTGGAAGGGACCTTAAAGCTCGTCCAGTCCCAACCCCCTGCCACAGACAGGGACACCTTCCACTAGAGCAGGTTGCTCCAAGCGCCTGTGTCCAACCTGGCCACGTTGGGTCTCCTAACTAGATTTTGTTATGGCAGTCCAGTGTCTTCACTGTAAAGGGAGCTCTGGTGCAGAAGACGTACCAAGTATTTATCATTTTCTCTCTGTTTCAGGCCATGTGTGGCTTTAACGTAGCTCTCTCACCTCTCTCTGTTTGCATGCCACGTACCAGCTCCGTGTACATGTACCTGCTCCTCTGTGAATCCTGCTGTCTGCTGTGAAATAACTGAGTTGTGGCAGGCTGTTATCAATTGTTCTTGGTGCTGTTCAGGAACAGAAAAGATAAGATGTCCTAACAAGAAACCAGCTCCAGATGTGTGAGATCAGTCCACTCCTGTGGAGTAGTGCTTCAATAGGAATGGGAGTGCTTACTCACTGATTTGTATTCTGAAATGAATGAGAAATAAGCCATTCCTGAGCAGTTTTCTGGTGTCTGTGGGAGCAGTCAGGGTGTTTGCAGTTAGCCCTGCCAGAACCTTCTCGTAGTTTTCCATTGTGGGACAGCCATGGAGTGATGTGGTGTCTCTATTGCTAGAGACCTTCAAGCATCATTCCAAATATTGAGTGTGAAGATCAGAAGCTTTATTAGAAGATGCTTCAGTTCTTTGTGGTCTTTGCAACAGGGAAAAGGGACCATTTGAAATATCAAGTAGGTCTCTTGTTTTTAAGAGCATCACACTGTGCATATAATAAAGTTCTGACCTGATGTGGTGTGGTTGGGCAGTAGAGTGTGTGTATACAGAGATACATGAACTTCTGAATTAGCACCTGTGTAAGTGTCTAAATTGCATTGAGATCTTGGGCCTGTGTGTAGAGATTCCTGTTTGGGAGAAGTTCTTGAATAACACTTCTTTTTTCCCCTCCAGGATAATGCGGTCGCAGCCAAGCGTGGTTCTTGGTGTGGCCCACACTGTGGTGAAGAGGATGTCCCCATTTGTTAGGCAAATGGACTTTGCCCTGGACTGGATGGAGGTTGAGGCTGGACGAGCTGTTTACAGGTGAGGTGTGGACAGAATTTTATGTTGTCTTCCAATATTTCAGATCTCATAGTTCAGGAGCTCTGCTCCCTTGGTGATATATAGCAAAAGAAACTCACTGGACTAAGTTTATTGAGTGTTTATCTCTTTGTCTGTTTTGAGATGATTTTCTTTCTGCAGTACCCTTCAGCGTTGTTCAGTCTCTTATCTCCAATTGTAATTAAAATTCTTTCATACTGTTCCTCGTCCTTTATGAGCCTCAGCAAGCTTTTAAAGTGACTTTACTGTCTGAGAGGCACTGACACAGGGTGCCTAGAGAAGCTGTGGCTGCCCCATCCCTGGCAGTGTTCAAGGCCACGTTGGACACAGGGGCTTGGAGCAACCTGCTCTAGTGGAAGGTGTCCCTGCCCGTGGCAGGGGTTGGAGCTGGAGGAGCTTTAAGGTCCCTTCCAACACAAACCAGGCTGGGATTCTATGATTAAGACATAGATGGTTGTATGTTCCGAGAGTAGATTCTGTATTGTTAAGGGCATGAACATCAGTTGCTCAAATAGTTTTTCAGCCTTTCCAAAGTAAACGACAGAACCCAAAGGTATTCCAGTTAGTCTTATTCAATAATAAATCAAAAATAGGCACTGCACGTTATGTTTAAGGGACAAAAGTTATCCTTGGGAAAACTTAATTTATGAATTTTTGTACTAGGATGTATTTAAGCCATTATATAATTGCTGCAGTGATTGGATAATAAAGGTCTAATTTAGTACATGTTCTATAGAATTGTAATTTTAATTTTCATAACTACACGTGCAACACCAATGATAAAGAAAGTTTTGTATTACTTTGTGCATCAAAGCACTTATAGAATCCCAGCCTGGTTTGTGTTGGAAGGGACCTTAAAGCTCATCCAGTTCCAACCCCTGCCCCGGGCAGGGACACCTTCCACTAGAGCAGGTTGCTCCCAAGCCCCTGTGTCCAACCTGGCCTTGACCACTGCCAGGGATGGGGCAGCCACAGCTGCTCTGGGCACCCTGTGCCAGCACCTCAGCACCCTCCCAGGGAAGAGCTTTTGCCTCAGAGCTCATCTCAATCTCCCCTCTGGCAGGTTAAAGCCATTCCCCCTTGTCCTGTCACCTTTTAACAGGTACCCGCTCAGTTTCTTGTTTGCTTGTTATGTTTAACTGTCATTAAATGTGTTCCTATGTCCTCTAAGCCATGTAGTGAAAGCTGATCAACTTCTGAAGACTCTTGGTGCATTTGCTGAGCAGAGCTGCTTCACTTGTTCGTGGTTACTGTCTCTGCAGGCAGGGTGACAAGTCAGACTGCACATACATTGTGTTGAACGGTCGCCTTCGCTCAGTCATTCGGGTGGATGATGGCAAAAAGCACCTGACGGGTGAATATGGCCGAGGAGACCTCATCGGGGTGGTAAGAGCAGCTTTCAGAATGAATTGTTTAGTTGAAAAAGACACTAAAGAAACAAAATCTTGCTCTGATCAGTTGTTAATCTTAGTGAAGGGCTTTCACACACTGGAAAGATGGAAAATCCCTTCTACCTGGAACCTTAATATACTAATACATAAATGGGATTATTAGGCTTGGTTGAAAAGGAAAGTAAAAAAAAAAGCCACAACCCAACCAAAAAGCCCTGCCCAGTGCTCTTCTGTGGTTTGGGTTACTCTCTTTCACATTGAGAGCAGCACAGCCTGGTAGAATAGTTCAAGAATTGCAGGAATGTGCATTAAATGGTGGTTTGAATAAATTCAGTGTCATAGAAAGATTCATTCTGGCTGGGATGCCATGGAAGTGCCTAGTCCAAGCTCTCAGAGTTTGCAGAGGTAACTTCAGAGCTGCATCAGGTTGTCCAGGGAGCGTGTAGTTAGTAAAAGTTATTAAAGCAACTTTTGATTTCAAAGTTGTAGCGTTTATCCGTGTTTAATTTCTCTGTTCATTTGTTGTTTCTCAGACTTAGTTCACAACTGGAGTAGGGTCCTACATCATCAACATACAACTTGTTTGATTTCTGTGTTTAACTCTGGAAGACTTTTGAAGGTCTGATATTGTTCAGGCCCTATTCTGCTTTCTTAGCTGAAAACTAAATATTTAATGTGTAACTGTTATAGCCAAAATGAGCCTGCCTCTGAATAAAGGAAACACAAGAGCTGGTATTCATCCTGTGGGAAGGGATTGTTGTTTATCGGGATCAAGAGGAAGAGGAAGGAGCTGTACAAGGCTGTTTCCCTCTAGAGAGTTGTTTCAAGGTTGTGCTGATTGCAAAAGGTGGTGGGTTTGAAAGGGGCATGATCCAGCAGTTGAGTGTTACCTGGAGAACAGGTTCTCTCCCCTGCTGCCTGCCTGTCTCCTGTGAGCCCTGGCTCTGTCTGTCCCTGGCGCAGGAGCACCGTGCCAGCAAGTGAGACCTCCTGGTGTCTGATGGACAGTGGCCCTCAGACAGGGATTTGTGTTGTACAGTGTTTGTGGCAGAGGTTCCATGTGCTCTGAGAGACTGAGACCTGGCCTAACATAGAATCCCAGACTGGTTTGTGTTGGAAGGGCCCTTAACAGCTCATCCAGCTCCAACCCCTGCCATGGACAGGGACACCTTCCACTAGAGCAGGTTGCTCCAAGCCCCTGTGTCCAACCTGGCCTTGAACACTGCCAGGGATGGGGCAGCCACAGCTGAAGGATATCTTCTCAAGATCAGTGCTACTTCTGGCTGAGGAGTTCTGTGGGCTTGGGGTGTCCTCGGAGAAGCAGAGCTGCTCTTGAGTGTGCTGTCATGCTCACAAATTCAGCTTGTTCTTTTTTGCGCTACCTCTTCAGGTACCTCTTAAAAGGTAAAATGAGATGGTTTGGCACGAACAAAAGCTGAGATCTTTTGTGACTAATCCTGCTGGTATGAGGCATTTTAGTGTGCGAATAAGGGTTTGTCAGTTTTGTCACATACAAGCATTTTCCTGCTCCTTTCCCTGCTTCCTTTCACCAGTGGTGATCTGCAGCTTCACTCCCAAGCTGCTGGAGTTTTGCAGAGCTTCTGCATTAAAACAACAGAGCTGTTGTACCTTCTGAAAGCAGTTCTGACTGACAGTGAAGTGCAGGCTCTGAACTCTACCTCCCTGTACAAGCACTCATGCAGGTTTTGGCACAACATTTCATGCTCACTCAGCTGTTTGGTGCAGAGATGGAGGTTGATTTGGTGGATGTGTTGGCTGTGACAATGCCATGTTTGCTGCTGAGTCCCTGGGCATGGGTACATAAATACCCATAGAGTTGGTGTTTAAAGCATAAGTCACTTTTCTGGATCTGTGTTTGGAGACGGACTTTGGACAAGGGCCTGTAGGGACAGGACAAGGGCAATGGCTTTAACCTGCCAGAGGGGAGATTGAGATGAGCTCTGAGGCAGAAGCTCTTCCTTGTGAGGGTGCTGAGGCACTGGCACAGGGTGCCCAGAGAAGCTGTGGCTGCCCCATCCCTGGCAGTGTTCAAGGCCAGGTTGGACACAGGGGCTTGGAGCGACCTGCTCTAGTGGAAGGTGTCCCTGCCCGTGGCAGGGGTTGGAAATGGAGGAGCTTTAAGCTCCCTTCCAACACAAACCATTCCATGTTATGACATGAATCACTTTAAAGACTTCTGTGACTCCGTGGACGTCATCTACTCCTTCCTGCCCACAGCTCCCAGGCCCACTGACTCACGCTGCCATTTGTTGAACGAATCCTGGTGCTCTGGCTGTCTTTTGAAAACATGGGGGAGGATTTGAGAAGATTGCCAGGGTGAAGGTGGCCGTGCTTTGCAGAGGGCATTGCTAAAATGACATTTTTCCTTTTAAAAAGATTTGTGTATCCCTTTCTGCACGATGTGTTACAGCTTTTAAAAGCCTGCGGCAGGGTTGGGGTTTTTCCCCTGAAACTGAAGTAACTGGATGGTTCAAGGTGCTCGCAGGGAATGAAATTAGTAGTTGGTAATTCGTGTTATAGTCAACTGCTGACATGTTCCTCCCTGGAGCCCTCTCCAAGACCCCCCATGGGCACGAAAAAGATCCAGGAGTCTGTAGTTGATGTATTTTTGTTTACTGCCATTTTTTCAGAGCTTTAAAAGTGCCATGTGTCAGATGCAGGAGATGAGTCTCTGCCATGTCTGCTTTGAGAAGAAAAGCACGAAAAACTGAAGGATTTCAGACAAGATGTTAATTTTCAAGCATGTGCGTGTGCTCCTGAGGCTAAACTTGCGGCTCAAACTGTTTTGTTCCTTGAACTGACTCAATGGCATCTGTTTTGGAGGTCTGTCAGTTCAGGGGGAGAATAACAGATCAGAAACTGAAGTTTGCCTTCAGGTGGGGACTTGAAGAGCTGATGAGGACACTTATGTCAGGGGAAAATGATCCCAGCTCCATAGGAGCCTTTGTGGAGGGATGCTGCCAACTGCTTGCTGCTGCTGCCCCTCTCCATGGGCAACTTCAGTTGCTGTATCTGGTCAAATCAAGTGAAAAGTTGATTGGAAGTTTTCCTGGTGGTTTTTAAAGGACAGTGAGGAATCTGTTTGATAATTCTCTCTCATTTTAAAGACAGTTGAGCCCCTGAAAGGCAGTTGGCAGAAGTCCTGATGTCTAGATGTGACCCCTCTGGGGTGGAATCTTTTATTTGTTGGTGCTGTTGCTACAGATGCACTTGTGGAAAGATGTTGACATGTTAATTTTATTAAACAGTTATGTGAGCTAAAGGGTGGCTCATCAAGTGTCACTTCTGCTGTGCCCAGATGTCCCCAGAGGACATGGGAAAAGCCCACCGTGTGTCCATAGAGTGAAAGGGCTTCTCCTCACTGAATTATTGGCTTAAAATGACTGTATCAATGATTGTTTTGGGTTTTTTTTTCCCCTTTGATGGTGCTGCTTTAGTTCTGATCTTGGTTAACTGCTGCGAACTGTAGTTTTTACTCATTAATCTTGATCTCACTAACACATTGTTGTCTGAGAAAGAGGATTCCTTTTCATTCATTTATTTGTTATTACAGAATCTCAGCCTGGTTTGTGTTGGAAGGGACCTTAAAGCTCATCCAGTTCCAACCCCCTGCCACTGACAGGGACACCTTCCACTAGAGCACGTTGCTGCAAGCCCCTGTGTCCAACCTGGCCTTGAGCACTGCCAGGGATGGGGCAGCCACAGCTTCTCTGGGCACCCTGTGCCAGCACCTCAGCACCCTCACAGGGAAGATCTTCTGCCTCACAGCTCATCTCAATCTCCCCTCTGGCAGGTTAGAGCCATTGCCCTTGTCCTGTCCCTCCATCCCTTGTCCAAAGCCCCTCTCCAGGTTTCCTGCAGCCCCTTTAGGCACTGGAGCTGCTCTAAGGTTTCCTCTTAAGGAGCCTTCTCTTCTCCAGCTGACCCAGCCCAGCTCTCTCAGCCCGTCAATATGCCTATTGCTACAAGGCAAACAGGCCCAGGCTGTGACCTTTAGTGCAGTCCCAGCACCACTGATGAGGCTGGAGCAGTTCTTCTGTATTTTTTTACAGCCTGCAACAGAAGTTGTCCCAGAGGAGTGACAGGATCCCAGCTCCAGGCGTCTGTTGATGTGGGTATCCTTTGTTTTTTGCATTGTTGGAAGGACACTAGTGGGTGAGGAGAAGGGAAAAAAAACCAACCAAGCTCTTGCAGAATAACCTCCTGCAGGATAAGTTATTTGTATACTGCCTGCTCCCTTCCAGCATCTGAAGGTGACAGAACCTTCTATGCAATTGGCTTTTTATGCAAGTCAACACCTTGTCTCAGTTGGGTTCCTGGAGAATGGCAGCAGTGTTGGGAAGATGACTCAGTGCCAGCAGTTCTTAGGGGCCTTGGTGACAGCTGTTGTGCTTAGAGTATTTTTAAAAGCTGTCTCTTATGTAGTTTATAGCCAGACTTTCTGGTGGCCACCTGCCTCTTACCACTTGTCTGCAGTGCCTTAACCACAAACCTGCCGGCTCGCAAAAGCACCCTATGGAGCAGGCAAACTGCAGCAACGTCGTGGTTCATACAACCCCAGGCAATGCTCCAGGCCTTGGGAAGAGTGGCTGTAAAGATGCTTTCACGGAAAAGGAGCTGGGGGTGTGGATTGATGGAGCTGAACGTGAGCTTGGAGCCAAGAATTCCAGCAGCCTGGAGCAGCACCAGGGTGGCAGCAGGGCCAGGGCAGAGACTGTCCCCCTGCACTGGGCACTGGTGAGGCTGCACCTCGAATCCTGTGTTCAGTTCTGGGCCCCTCACTGCAAGAGAGACATTGAGGTGCTGGAACGGGGCCAGAGAAGGGCAATGGAGCTGGTGCAGGGCCTGGAGCACAAGTGTGATGAGGAAGGGCTGAGGGACCTGGGGGGTTTAGTCTGGTGAAGAGAAGGCTCAGGGGGGACCTTATCGCTCTCTGCAACTGCCTGACAGGAGGATGGAGCCAGGAGGGGGCTG